TGTCAGCTTTTTAGTAAAATAGACTTACACACTCTGACAGACCACAGAAACACACCTTTTGGGTGTAAGTCAGGAACCTCTTGCCAAAAGCAGAAGAAAAAGAAAGCTTTGTCAACCAAATGAATAGTAAAAAAGTGAAATGTCCCACTTGTCGAAAACCCCCTCTCCTCTTGTTGTGCCGTACTGTATGCACAGGAGGAACACTTGAACAGTGCTGCATTAGTTTAATGGAATATTATCCATCTGTTGAATCGCAGTCAAGTGTTTTCCTCTGTCAGGCTTTTATACTTAATGTCACTCAAACACACTCGCTCAGCAGCGCACACGCACAGTCAGATAAACATAATTTAATACCCCGTCGCCTTTCTTTCACGCAGTTTCATTATTCCGCTATTGCGTGGCATGTGGGCGTGTAAAGCGTCTGCCTGTTCCGAGGATGGGGGAGTGAAGAGTACTCCACAGACAATTGCACTTGAATTTTAAATGTAGTCCTTTTTTTTCCCCGGGGCTTTTTAAGACAAGAGCCATGTTATTTTCCATAATGGAGTGTGACAGAGCGACAAATGATAATTAATTTGAATGAATTGCTTGTATTTGCCAGTTTGAAGTGGGGTTCTTGAATATATAGTGTTTGTGTTTGTGTTGTATGGAAGGCATTCAAGCCCCACCTAGATAGGACATACATATATATATATATATCTAGATTAATAACTTGTGATTAAACTTTCATCTTCCAACCATATTTTAACTAGGGTTGGGGGTACATTTGTACAGAATAGAATTTCAAATGTCTTTCTTTTGCAAAGTTGTCATTATACTGTACACATACTCATCATCTTAACTATTATTATTGCAATTTCTGGTAACAATTGCTTTTACAGTCAACTCACTTGATGGTATTATTTATTTTTTATTTTGATGTCATAGGTGAAATCAGCAGGATTGGCAGGAAGTTGTTAAATTGCATAATTTGCTGTTGAAAAAAAGCGAATAAATGTAATACTCAGCATATTGCAAAATGCTTGTTTGTTGATGTAAGAATCTTGAATTAGGTATGATGATAATACTGTATAGTTATTTTTGGATTAGATTCCCACTTTTAATATTAACATTAAACAACTAATTTGCCCAGACTTCAATTTCACCATATCTTTGCAGATGTGCCTCCATATTCACATCTGTGTGTGTGTGTGTGTGTGTGTGTGTGTGTGTGTGTGTGTGTGTGTGTGTGTGTGTGTGTGTGTGTGTGTGTGTGTGTGTGTGTGTGTGTGTGTGTGTGTGTGTGTGTGTGTGTGTGTGTGTGTGTGTGTGTGTGTGTGTGTGTGTGTGTGATTGTATGTCAGTGGCTGTTTGCACAGGCCTGAATGTGTGCTTTTCAATATGTATGAAACAGAATGTGTGAGTGAAAAAGAGCAGACAGAGGATGCATGTAACAGGAGAAAGTGCGATGAAAGTGGACTGAACAGAGTGTGTGTGTCGCCATGTGTGTGTGAAGTGAGTGGAATCCATATTCATGCACTAGTATATGTTTAAATGTGTATCCAGTGGTGAGTGTAAGCAGACTGTGTGTGGTGAGGGGGGGGCGCGTGTGGCATGTGTGTGTGTTAGACGGTGTGTTTTAATGTGTGTGTGTTGAAGGGTCCGGGGCCAGGGAGTGTGTTGGAGGTGGAAGCTGCTGAGTGTGCGCACTGTTCCACTAGTTCATGCTGCATAGGCAGAAAAAACGATTGGATTACAACTTAGTCTGGGAAGAATGTGTGTGTTCAGGGAGAATTGATGCGCTGTAAACATTTAGGTCAATATGATATATTATATATTGTATATGCATGTCAGTTGAGGGGGGTCTACTTGCATTTTAAAAGCCGAGCGCATACAGACATGTTGAACCTGCTCCTCCTCCCAGTGTGTGTTATTCTAGGGTTCTTGTCTTTGCTTGGTTACTGTATTTTGTATGAGCCGTGCTGCGCGCCCTGAATCTGCCCGTGCTCCATTTCCAAACGAGCGTGTCTGTGTTTAGGTTAGAGGTCCTTACGCCCAGTTCCTCCAATTCTCCAAACCGCAGCAGATCCCAGCTCAGATAAAGCCTCTCTGTGTGTGTTTGTGTGTGCAGGCTGAGGCCACCGTGTCTTTGTCGGGCATCGCCACGTGTTGAAATATGCGTGTGTGTTTTTCCTTCTTTGGCCCATCTGGGGGAAACCTTTCGTGACAGACCGGTTTGCCCTACATTGCCTCTTACTTTCAGAAGATACTGTCTGTCACGTAGATGGAAGTTAGGAGGAGATGTCCCGTCTTTTTTCATTCACTATTGAGCGTTTGGCCTTATGTCTCCATATCCTCATTCTTAACTTCCCTTTTCTGTTATCTTAATCTTCTGTAAGCCTTAAACTATTTTCCATTCAATTCCCATTTTTACACCTTGACTTTCTGCCACACACATTATTTTTCCCTTACTTAATGTTTGAAACATAATAGGACCTCCGTTGGCGTTCTGTGGACTGGAAATCACATTTGCTTACTTCTCTCCTTCAACTCATTTCCTGACCCTGCGATTTCAAATCTGATTGGTAAACTGAGAATAACAGGCTACTATCTGATTGGCTACCACCTGATAACAAAATGGCTTAGACTTCTTCTTATCTGCAGTATTTAATGTCTCGTCATCGTTATTTCAGGATTATAGGACGTTGATGTCCATAGAATGGCCACTGTAGAAAAATATACCTACAGTAAAACCCACACACATACGCTCAACCCATCTGCGGTTCACTACAAATTCTCACACACACACACACACATCCACAGACCTCCATTCATGCCCACCCACTCCATTTCCTCCAAACTGAAATCCAAATGACGCAGATGAGCTGCAACCGTCTTTATGAGGTGACGACCACTCCCTCTCATCCACCCCACTGCTACTTCACACACACACACACACACACACACACACACACACACACACACACACACACACACACACACACACACACACACACACACACACACACACACACACACACACACACACACACACACACACACACGGGGGGCGACACACCACTACCTCCATCTCCCCGACCATCAATCCCTTCTTTTATGTAGACACAGATGTCCGAGATCTTACACAGTGTGAGGGGGCGCAGATGGCTCCTATAGCAGCCCGTCAATCAGAGCGCTGCAGTGAGATCACAATGCTTCGACCGGACCGTGTGTGTGTGTGAATGTGTGTGTTTATGCTATATATACACTACAGTATTGTGTGTGTGTGTGTGTGTGTGTGTGTGTGTGTGTGTGCTGGTTTTATATATTGTGTGCCTGCGTGTGTCCGTGCTGTATGGTGACACTGATGATGATGGATGATAGTGTGATGGTGAGGCTGATGTATTGGAAGGCTGTACCTGGAGTGAAAATATGAAGCACATGGTGTGTATCAAATGGACCAAGTGGAGGCTGATGCTGAAGGGGTTCATTTTGTTTATTTATTTTGTCTGCATTTTAAGAAATTATTAAGGCATACATAACAAAATAAAAACTGAGATACATAAAAAGAACTACATGACAATCGAAAAATCAGGAAAAGAGAAGAAAGAAAGAGAAAAAAAACACACATTGATACCAATTTATAAGATATAGCGTTTTAATACTCATAATTGTCAGATTATGGACCTGGACATTATAAATGTTTTGTGTTTTATAATTTACCAATTTTTCCTCTCTTTCATCAAAGATATGTACTTGGCTTCTGATTCTCGTGGTTATTTTCTCCATTCCATAATTGTATAAATTGTGGTAATTTAAATACGTATTTTAATTGGGCTAACATTATTTCGATGAATCTTTCATTATTGGCTTATTTTTCTATTAATGAATAATTTGCTTAGTCTAGAAAATGTCGCAACATGTTAAAAAAAAAAGGGGATGTTATCAATGTCAGGACCCCACTCAGATATACATATATTAGATTTATAATCACATTACATTTGCAGTGCCATAAAACAGAGAAACAGCAGAATCTTTCATTTTAAAAAGTGAATTTCTGTTACTTTTACTTGTTAATTATTAAAGGTATTAACCAATCATCGAAATGGTTTTCTGTCATTTTAAAAACTAAAATCGACGATGCAGCTTGATTGTTCAATACAATCAAATAAAGAGGTAGATGGACATTCCGTATGTTTCATGTATTACTGATTAATATCCAAGTGGGAACTGATCTCTGGTGGTTATAAATTAACTTGACTGTCTGAGGTCTGGCTGGACATTGACCCACATGTAAAAAAGCTGGTTTCCATTTATCTTGGCTGCACATTGTTAGTCTCTACTTTACGACGTTGTACACTTGAAAGGAACTCCGCAGAAATCCATGTGCAGTGACAAACTCTTGAACGCTGATTTACATAATAACCCATTTACAGCTACATGCCACACATACTTACTTACAAACAGTGTCTCCCCTGGCCCTGACTCCATATGAATTATTCAACCAATCACACGGCTGAGCAGTCTGAACCGCGTCCCTGATTGGAGCATGCTGTGTTCACTTCAAATGTCTCACGCTATACCTGACTGACGTGTGTCTGTGTGTGCAAATGCGTGGGTGGAAAAGCAATTAAGGAAACATGAAAAAGTAACAGATTTCCTACAACAGGGCATCTTGATTGGCAGAATTATTTTTGTATTTTGGGCAAAGACAAGCACACTTTTCCAACACTCGACCATCTAATCATTTGTATTGCAAATATATTTTTGTGTGACTAATAAGTACTCAACATGGGTCATACTGATATTTGAAGTTTGAATAGTTACGCTATTATAGTCCACATTTTTGCTGCAGATGTATTTCCGTAGTCAACACTTATAATGTATTAACTTGCTGTAGTGAACTGTATAAAAGTGGAACTGATTTCATTTTCAAACCGTTCATTTATCAATATTTTCGTCTTCTGCTAGTTATTCCCAATTCATGATCGGCACTAACTCTTTCTCCTCTCTCTCTGCAGAGATGTTAGAGTCCAGTAACCTCGTCACCTTCAATGGCTTGGCCAACAGCTCGAGCTACGACGCTTTCCTATTGGACGAGGAGCGAGGGAGACTACTGGTTGGAGCAGAGGACCACATCTTCTCATTCGACCTCGTTAACATCAACAGAGACCACAAAATGGTAAAACTCCTTACACTTTAGGGTTATTTTATAGGTTTGTGTGAGAGTTCAACGCATGAGGTTCTTTTGGTCCAGTTAGCAAGGAGTTATTTGAGCTCTTTTTATTTTTTTCTCTCCTCTCTTCTCCCTCTGGAGTCCATTACACCACATTTCTCTCCCCTCCCTCTATCCCTCCCACTGTCTGTCTCGGTCCAGACAGGGCTGTCCATAATTCCATTACTCCACCTGGACTAGGTTAACAGTCTTTTTATCCGATTGGGGTTGCCATCATAGACACAGACTTGCCTGCAGGCTGCAGAGAGCTGAGCAGGGGAATGGAAGTGCTGAAAAATACAGAGTCAATGCAGAGACAGAGAGTGTTACTTCATTATTTTTGCCCTTGGCTCGGATGTGCATTTTTCCCCGCTCTTTTGTTCTGATCTTTGCATCATTATCAGATAAAGGCCAAAAAGAGGTGATTAAGCTAATCTAATGTAATTACCCTAAAATGTGCAGAGCTGCAGAGAACTCAGCTGATCCAGAGAGCAGATAAAGTCTAGGAATAGAATGAGGAATGTGTGTGTATTGTATAAAAATACAAATGCATGAACGTGCATGTGCATACATTGCCTTTGTCTATCCACATCTGAAGGGCCAACAAAAAGAACGTTTGCTCAATCGCATTCTTAGTATATAATTATTCCCTTCCACTTGTACACTCTGGCCATGTGTGTTTATAATTCATGTGAGGGCCACAGATAGATGTCTTCTAACAGCACAAGCCTTTATTTATTTCACAATAAGTCCTATCTTTTCCAAAACAATGACGCAAAAGCCTGTTAACTCAATGTTTTTTAGAAAAAGTACAACCACATGCTCAAGATTTGAAAAGTAGAAAGGAGTTTTAATACCATCATTTGAACCAGAACTCATATTTAGACATTATTAAATGTCTACATCAACACAGCAAGTTTGGAGGGTAATAATCCTACGTGTTCCTACACATGTATGTTATCCAATTTCACATAAACACAGAACATGTTTTGTTTACGAGTCACCTTAACCCCTTTCCATCTCTACTTTCATGCACCCTATCATTATACTGTTTAAAAAGCAATCCCCTTATGCATCATAATATGATGCATAAGTACACACAACACGTATGGTATGACCAGGAATGCAGAGGGAAATAAGGAAGTGAGTTAACTAGGAGCTGTCAATATACATCAGGCCAATTTCTCATTCCCCTGGAATTATCCAAATGTGGCCTTCCCCCTGATTCACTGCATTGACTCACTGCATTGACTCACTGCCTTCATGTTTCATGGACCAACATGTACATCTGTGCTCTGCACCTCCAGCCCAGTATGACTTTGTCTCTTCTTGTTTGCACAGATTGCGTGGCCTGCCACTCCCTCGAAGAGGGATGAATGCAAGTGGGCAGGAAAAGACCTTGGGGTAAGTCCACATTCATGATGGCATCATTGTTTGAACTCTTCTCTATAATTATTGCCATCATTGTTACACAAATTATACGTCTGTCCTGCATCCATTCTTCAATTTACTCTTAAACGCATTGTCGCAGAAATTCACTATAAGAGAAGTTTGGAGCATCAGAAATTAGCCAGTGCCCATTATCCATCTCTCCTCAGTACTCTCTATAGGCCGTCCCCCACTGGCACCTTTAACAAAACAAACTGTACGACAGATGTTCGGTCACAGTGAGGTGTACATAGTGTCCCTCTAGGACAATGACGCATTACCTCAGAGGTTATAAGCAGCCGGGACAAACACTTTAAAGTCGGGAGTATGTTTATGTTTGTGCCTCGGATTGTGCGCATGTGTGCATATTTATGTGGGAGTGTAATGTTTGACTTCCCGTTATCTGGCGCAGCACGTTAGCTCACATGTGCAGGAGTTTGCTGAACACATACTACAGTATATGCCACCAGCATTGTTTGCGTGCGTGATGGTGTTAGTGTGTGTTATCTCTGTGTTGCTGTTTGGATAGGCTCTCTGTGTGCTTGTATCTGATCTTAATTTCATGGCTGGATGAGTCCGGAGTGCAGCGGCTGCAGGGATTTTTGGATAATCCAGAATTACATACTCATTTCAAATCACAGAGGTTTTTCTCGGGTCCAACACGCCGCCAGCTTTGTGGGATTCTCGCCCAAACACACAGTCGCAACTACACAAGCAACGCTACACCTTCGCTCGCTCTGTGGAAAAAATACTTTTTTTTCTGGCAGCACAAAATCACACAAAGCACAATGATGAGGTATTTGCATGCTGTGAAAATGTTTACCCTTGAAAATGAGGCGGTGAGAGCAGAGAAGTAGTGCAGAATGGAGAGGCCTTGATTAGGACATTACTAAAGCATTCAGAGCTCCCCAAAGTGATGCATTTCTTCTAACCACAATTTATAGCCGCTTAACAAATGTAACAGCTGCCCCCCTCCAAAATGCCTGATGGCTGTATCATTCTCTCTGGCAGGATGAGTGTGTAACATGGCCCAGGTTGTTGCATTTGATTCAACTAATAAAGTGTTCACATCCTGGAGTGTGGATCACATATTTGTAGAAGTGCCTGATGTCATTTCCAAAATCATTTCCAGCTATTACACATATTAAAGGACAAACACAAATGCTTCCAATGCATTTACAATATTAACTTTGGGACCTAATCTCAAAATCCACTTAATTTATCCAAATAAATACAAACCACACACAAATGTGTCCACCCTTCTCTCCCATGGAAAATCAGCATCAATACACTGTCAAGAAAGAGTCATTGGTTTCATCCAATTATGACTAATTTATCCTCTGTGGGTATTGTGGTTTTCACATAATGACATGGTTTGTGATCAGGGAAACTATTTTTCACCTGGGGGGCAGGACAGAGCGGCATGTTTGAGTGACTTGCATAACTTACGTACGTCAGTGTTTATGCGCAACCTACCTACCACATAGCTAATGAGGCAAAGTTGCAGACAGCCATGTCAAATCCTCAACAGAGCTGACATTGGGTGAGGGGGGGGGGTATCATATGAGTTGGTGAAATGCATATAATAGGGTCGTGAGAAGGATGTGGGGGCACATGTGCTCCCTCTGTTCCACCGTAGAACTTGCAGAGGGTAAAGTCATTAAGTCACACAGTCGCAGAGACGTACACAGTTGAGGTCAGCCACAAGAAAAGTTTAGTCTTCCTCTGAGAACTTGGCAAAGGTCCTGTGGATAAATTGTGGAAATGTTGTGAGGGGTAGTGGGTTAATGATCTAAAGGTGTCGAATGCTCGAATAAACCCTAAAGTCAGTTGTAAACCACTAGCATGCTACAGTTTTGTATTACAACATGTTAATATTTAGACTTTACATTCAAATCAAATTTCATATTCAACAAACAGTTTTGAGACATAAAGACATTTTGGAAAATATGCTTATTTGAAAGTTGGACACTAAGATTAACACCACTCTCATGTCTTTAGGTTCAATTTGAGGCTGTACTGTTTCTGGCAACCTGTTAGCATAGCTCGCTATATAGACATGGGAAAAACTGCTAGCTTAGCTTTGACCAAATGTATAGCAGTCTGTCTATAGCTCCTATAACTTTCCTATAGGAATAGTGAAAAAAACTGATTGTGTTTTTACTGTGGGTTTTTGTGTGGGATTCTTTCTTGTGTTGTTTCCCTGTCATGTCATCCTATGCATGGGTAAGCTAACAGGCTGCTAGCTATGCAGTGACTATGAATTTGACTAAGCCAGTTACCAAGGAAGCGGTGCAGTGTGTGATTCAAGTTAATTTGGTGTTTGAAATCATTTTCATTCCAACCTGATCTCAGTGCAGCTTCAGATCCATTTATGTCTCATAAGAGAGACATCAGCGAAAATGAAATGTCGGTGAGATTTAGTAGCCTGAAGCATGCATGTGTTAAAAGGTCATTTATCTGTCTGCATGCGATGTGATGTGTGCTGCGTTTCCAAATCCCCGAGCCAATGTCTACTTATGTGTTAGGTGGACATTCAGCATGTATATAATAAGGAAAACCCCAGACTAATCTCCTAAACACATGTGCCCAAATCAACTCCTCGAGGCTGCTAATAACCTTCCTACATTAACCAATCCCGTTGATTAGCACTCTAATAAACAGTCTCACACCACTGGGACTATCAACATGTGCTGGAGAGCCAACCCAAACCCCCTAGGTAAATTCAAACATATGGATCATTAAAGATCTGAGCTACATTTTGCCTGATTTGAGATACAGGTGGGATTTCCTTGAAGGAGACTCAGTTTCTCATTTCAAATCCAACTGGAAATTCCCCGCTTTAAAGGGAGTTCCAACAGAGCTTTTCTCTTCTCTCCATTATTCTCTGCTTCCTATTACTCTCCATTTTCAAGTCAATCACGCCTTTCTCTATTAAAAGTGTCAACGCTATTTTCATAAAGGATCAAACTTAATTCAAACTTTATGACATGTAGGAGGCTTTTTGGAGGTTAATGCTTATAATCTCTTAGTTTCACATGCTTTGTGAGGCCATAAATATATAATACTGGTTACATTTCTACATAAACAGAGACTGGTCACATCATGTATTTAAAATTTCTTTGCCAGATGTATATTTCACTTCATGAAATTTGTGGTTTTGATCTGCCACGTCTCCTTTCTTTTCCAGAAGGAGTGTTCTAACTTCATCCGGGTCCTCCAGCCCTTCAACCAGACCCACCTGTACATCTGCGGTACAGGAGCCTTCCACCCCATCTGTTCTTTTCTGGAAATGGGCAAGAGGGCTGAGGTAATCCAATGGGTGCATTGATGTGGTTTCACCATATGCTATTGGTGTTTCAAATGTAATATCAATGCTTATGTCATTTAGTTCTCAATTGGGTGTTAGGGTTAATCTGTCGTGAAATGTGACAGAAAAGCTACAATAAACTACACTGAAATAACTGAAACGTTGATTTTAATTAAATATATTGTATCAACAGATTTCACATATCTGTTTTAGTTGAAAGCAATAATAGTAGGTTTAAATAAAGAATATTAGGTTCAACCTAATATTATTGCTTTTGACTAACTTAATACAGTTATGTGAAATGTTTTGACATAATACACTTCATTAGTCAACGTTTCAGTTTTTTCAGTGTAATGACAGAAAGTATTTTCCCTTAAAAGAATGTAAGCAAGCAACCACACTGGCTGGACACACAAACACACAAACAGACACACACCATTTTCTGTCAAGCACAGCAGTAGCCATTCCCTTCATTGATTATCTTCTCGTCAATGTTTTCTTTTATGTAGAAGTGGAAAGAAAAAGTGGTCACTACATGGTTCGACTTCAGCTGGTGGAAATGAAACAACCTCTCCCCTATAAAAGTTTAATCAGTCATCTTGATAAAGGCCTCCGGGTTAATCAATGTACCGGCATGGGTTCTGCAGCCCCACAATAGTGAGGTGAAAGACTGCCTGCACCATGCAGGTTTTGAGTATAGAAGACCCGGCGTGAGTTCACTTGAGTTTATAGAACTGTTGTCAGTTATTGATTTGTAGAAACATGAGATATTGGGTCTTTCTTTTGTGACTATTCAAAGACACTGCTGCATGATCCTACTTTATTCCTCATCATTCTTTGTGGTTGCACAACTGTGGTGTAAAATAACATATTATTGACCAAGCCTGGCAAAAACCCAATCCCAAACAGAGTGTTCTAAAATGAGATGTTGCTGTAATTTGAAACACAGGCTATAAATGTACTTTCTTAACCAGGGTCAATGCGACTTTCACTGGCCTCATTTTGAACTTTGACCCTTTCCTCCACAGGATAACCTCTTTCGACTGTCCTCGCATTTCGAGAATGGCCGCGGGAAAAGCCCCTATGACCCCAAAATGCTGTCAGCCTCGCTTTTGATCGGTGAGTTGGGTTTCAGCCTAGATTAGTTCCAGGAAGTACATGTTCACATCAGACCCTTTATTCATAACTGCATTTTCTTCACTGGCAGATGGAGAGCTGTACTCTGGCACATCTGCAGATTTCATGGGAAGGGACTTCGCTATTTTCCGTACTCTTGGAGATCAACATCCAATCAGAACAGAGCAGCATGATTCAAGATGGCTGAATGGTAAAAATGTTTTTTATTAGCAAGTGAAATGGTCACAAATAACTAAGTTATACTCCCGAGTCCCGAGAAAACCTGTTTTTTGTGCAACTTAATTTGATCAAGTTGCACAAAAAACAGGGTCTACTCAAATATGTTGCATTTCCTGGGTTTTAAGAGGCTATTTCTATCTATAAGCTTACAGATGAAGCTTATACTGGTCAGACAAAAAGATGGATAAAACACATTTTGGAAACTCACATACTCATATAGTAAAATTGGACACATTGCTGTCCAAATAAACCTCAATGTTTTGATACATGGTTGAAGTAAACCCTTGTCATTGGTCAGTTTTGGATAAAGAAGTCCATTGAGCCTTTCAATGGACATTGGAGCATTAAATGATCACGTCTCCAGCCATTCCCATTCTTGTGCAGAAATCTGATATCAGAGCCCATTCACAGAGTCACTGGATGTGCCTGTGCTGGTAAGATTAGCGCGGCAGTGAGGGTCATTGACCGTTCAGTCTATCTTTCGGCACCGCAGAGGACTTAGGGAGCCACAAAAGGTCAGTTTGAACTTTCCCCTCAAGCTGTGCCATCCTTTTTTTCCGCCTCTTTCCCACAGAACTAATCCGCTCTCAGCTGTTTTCCTGTAGTGGAGTCGAATTCCACTCCGTTCCCTTCAACCCTCACCCCCCCACCCCCCTCCCCCACCACCATCGAAAAAATCACAAACACCGTTCTTTCCAGTGCTGATTGCGGTGACATATTCATAAAGAGCGATTTAAAAAGGAGAAGCCGTTGTTGGAGCGTTAATCCCCATCGATCTTTCACCGTGTTCAAACAAATACTCGGGGGATTGTATCCATTCGACTCGGCAAAACTCCTTCCCCACAAAGGGGGGATTGTAATTGCATGGATTACCGGGTTGGGGATATTCTATTAAGCCTTTATCAACATGGTTACATGGTACTCAAATGTAACTAGAAATAAAATTGGGAATTAATCCTCAACAGCAGCTATATCTGGAAAGGATTCAGGGTTAAATGGTAGCTTTGGCTTTGTTAGTCTTTATTCAGGCAATTTATTTACACATCTCATTCAACATTCAGGTTGGATTGAAGCGCGACTGAATACAGTGGCCTTTTGTTGGGAATTAAATGTAATAAATGTTATGACCTCAATGGTTCAGCCTGTTTTTGTATGCGAGGGCACGTAAGATTGGATTTATGAATGTGTAGATTTAATAGCACATATTCACAAAACAGCAATGAGGTTTGTGTGGTGGTACGCATGATTCATACAGAGGTCTCGCAGCCGCACGGCGCTTATAAATCTGCTTCCCACTTTGGCCACACTGGTCTTTTTCACAGTTACTTTATATCCTAAACGGCCATGCAGGCGAAACATGGCACTGCTTGTTTCTTAACAGCTAACCCCCCCGAGCTTTCAGACACAGGCTCGTTTTACGCGTGACGACGCCTCAGTGACTGCGGCCACTTTCTCCCCGTCCCTCTGTCAGAAGATGTCCCGGCCCTAAGGCCTCGGCTGGCCACTTTAGCTTTGATTTCCTCTCGTGCTTAAAGTCGAGATACATTTATTCAAGTGTTACCGGGGACAATCAGAGCCATGTGTGTTTTGGAGGATGTGGCCCAGAGAAAGGGGTTATGTGGGATTTGGGCTTGGAGCACTCACTTGGGGTAAAGTCAGATACTGTAACACCAGGGTGTAAAGTGAATGGCTGTTATTACTGAGCCGTGACTGGAGAATATCACGGGGGATTTGGTTTCGGAGGTGTAAAATAGGGGTGAAGGGATTGTCATCGGGGCGGAGGTTGGATCGTAAAACATTAGTTTGTGTACGTTTTTGTATGCTTCAAAGTGTGAATGAACACATGTATGCACTTTTGACTGCCTGCAGTGTTGTTTCTGGGCTTTATTCATTTCCCCTTTTCCCCTCCAGACCCCAGGTTTGTAGGTGTTCACTTGATCCCAGAGAGTGACAACCCTGAAGACGACAAGGTCTTCCTGTTTTTCAAAGAGAACGCCATGGACGGAGAGCACACGGGCAAAGCTACCATGGCCAGGATAGGACAACTGTGTAAGGTAACAACACACACATACAAAACCCTAATCACAGTTGAATCCGAAACAATGGAAATATATTTTAACATAACTGCATGGTTGAAGAGAAAATCACTACATGTGTGTATCAGATTTAGCAAAAATGTATTTAGTTCTTTGTATTTGTGCCCTACAGAATGACATGGGGGGCCACAGGAGTCTTGTTAACAAGTGGACCACTTTCCTTAAAGCCCGGCTAATGTGTTCAGTGCCGGGGGTCAACGGCATCGATACACACTTTGATGAGCTACGTAAGTGTGTATTCTTTATTTTTTGAAAGTAAGCTTGACACACTCTCTTTTAAATGCTGCTAATAAACATCACCTTCACTCATTCTTGCTTTGTATTTTCAGAGGACGTGTTTCTAATGAGCTCCAAGGACCCGAAGAATCCGGTTATCTACGCCGTATTCACCACATCCAGGTACAGATCTTTTGTTGTCTGACTTCAAAATGTGCGTGCAAAGACTCACATTCTCAAACAGCTTGAAAGACGCTCGTAGTATCATATTTGTTTTGTTGATTAGTTGCTAGGAGATCACAAGGAGCTGATACAAATTCAACGGGCAACCGTTCTTGACAGGTTATTTCCAGGGTATTCGGAAAGTACACAAGCTTCATATTTCCTTTCAGGGATTATTCCTTTTCAAATATTTTATTCCGTCCTTTTATCTGTAATTTCCTAACCATCCAAATGACATGGCAGGATGCGAGCGGCCAGGCGTGCCTGCGTCAAATTCCCAGACAGCGCTCCCCGTCTCGTAATCCACTTACAGGTGTCTTATGGTAGCTTGCCCCTCACATGGTTCCCCTCCCCACATCTCAGAATGGATATTACTTTAAGCCGATTCCCCCTGTTCCTCCCTACCTGTCCCCCTGTTTCACTGAAACCTTGGCAGAGGCTTGTAGGGAAATCAGATTATAGAGCAGGAGGGAGCGAGAGAAACATGATATTCACTCAGCAGGAACGCACGTCTCTCGCCCCAGCATTCAATGGGGTTTTTCTCCAAGGCCGGGTGGGGCTCTATTGAAGCATACGGAGAGGTAAAGGCATGGGGCGACGCAGATAAGTGAGTTGAAATGGCACAGATGGCAGCACTTATCATGATGATGATGAATTTGCATTTGGGAAGGAGGAGGGGGGGGGGGATTTTGTGTCCGGTAGTGTCTCCAAACTGCTTTGAAAAGAGGACAAACACTTCACCATCAATCACTGCTAATGATAAGACGCATACCGACGGGCGCCTTGCATCACCAGCCCCGTATGGCTTCTCAGAAATGTATTCGAGGCAAAAGGTCTCTGGTGGGTGCACACCTTCTCACCCAAATGTGTGCCTGTACTCACACACACACACACACACACACATACACGCTTTAAAATTCAATTATAGGGCATTGAGGAATTAGAGTGGTTTGATTGGTTTTCTAAGTGGCCGCTTTTCAGAGATGAATAGGGCAGAGATTCCGAGGGACCGGCTTTTAATATCACTGCTTAATGAGGCACAAAGAAGCTGCCACTGACAGATTTGTGTGTGTGTGTGTGTGTGTGTGTGTGTGTGTGTGTGTGTGTGTGTGTGTGTGTGTGTGTGTGTGTGTGTGTGTGTGTGTGTGTGTGTGTGTGTGTGTGTGTGTGTGTGTGTGTGTGTGTGTGTGTGTGTGTGTGTGTGTGTGTGTGCGTGTGCATTCTTGTGGGGTTAACTGAATTTCCTCTGTCTCAAACTGTGGGTATCTGCACAAACACATGTTCGCTCTTCTTCTAAAAGCATGGGTATTGGAGTGGTTTTTATTTTGCCCCTGGACTTAATTGAATTTCGCTGTAATTAACATTTTCAAATGCTAATCCATTCATCTTCCGTGCTTTGGTGAGTACTGTGGGCTGCGTGTATGCCAGCCACATCCCTAATTAGTCTGATACAACTTCCCATTGCAGTCAGAAAGACAAAGGACGTCCCGAATCTTATTGAAGAATTTGGTTTCTCGCTCATGCAAGAGACTGGCTGTCCAAATTCAAATCTGCCATCTGTAAAAAGTGACAAAAAGCTGATTAATGAACTTAATTTTTCCACATGTAACCTACAAGCAAAAAATGACAAGTCTTTAAAAATGTGAAACCAATCTGGTTACATGTGGTCAGAGGTTAATGGACTTCATGGTGCGCAAAAAAACAGCTCCAGGAATATTCAAATGACTCTTTTACGAAATATCTCTTGGAATATTCCAGTAAAACGCCCAACACTTTGATGAATCACGGCTCAGATTGCTGTCTTCTGGATGACCCGGGACATTGTTTCAATTGAAATCAAATGTCGTCCTTTTTGCGTGAATGATTGACATTGCCTGCTTTGGACCTTGTCTGGCAAGTGAAAGTAAAATCCGACCATCTGGCTGAAGCGAGAGCTAAATATCGGAGAGGATTTCAAGTATGCTGTGAACCAGGTCTCCTGCTTTGTTGGTGGTGTGCCCACATTCCTGTCTGTTCTCAAGAGGCTAGAAGCAATCAGGGAGAAGTTCCAGTCTGTCGTTCGTATACTTAGGTAATGACAACCCTGCTCTGCTCTGTCTTTGTGCGATGAAGGGTCATTTTGTTGTCTTTCTTCAGTATTTCACAAGCTCCTAATCCCTGTCTTGTGACCGATCATTTATGTCTCTGTCATCTTTCACCGCCCTCTCCCTCTCTTCATCCTTGAACTCTTTTTTTTGGTCTCATCCCTTCTACGTTTCTCTCCCTTTCTCCACAGTAACATCTTTAAGGGCTCAGCAGTGTGCATGTACAACATGGCCGACATCAGGAGGGTTTTCCTAGGATCCTACGCACACAGAGATGGACCCAACTACCAGTGGGTGCCTTTCCAAGGGAGGGTGCCTTACCCCCGCCCTGGCACTGTGAGTCTCCACATTAACAATAGTCCTCAAATAAAGTGATTTCTTCAGTGCCATCATTTAAACTAACCTTCTGGTCATACCCTCAGTGCCCCAGCAAGACATTTGGAGGGTTCGACTCCACCAAGGACCTCCCTGATGATGTCATCACCTTCGCCAGGGGACACCCGGCCATGTACAACCCGGTGCACCCGATAGGCGGGCGTCCCATCATGGTGCGGACAGACGTGGACTACCAGTTCTCCCAGCTGGTGGTGGACAGAGTGGAGGCCGAGGACGGACAGTACGACGTCATGTTCATCGGGACAGGTACACAATTTCACAGTTTGTCCTATGATGTCCGCTTTCATTTGCATTTTTCACAACGTGCTCAAAGTGATCTACTCTAGTAGTTCTATTATTTTCATACTACACTATTTGATTTAAGTTGTGAAGGGGTTCAGCTCCACTTATAGATATTGTATTGCTATTTTCAATAAATGGCAGTATACTGTAATTCAACTTGGAGCACACTGAGAGAGACTTGTTATTCAATGTAATAATGGTTTACTGATACGCCTGTTAATATGTAAATAAAAGTGTATTGGCACTTTTTTCTCCCACTTCAAGCAGTGATTTTACCGCTGTTCATGTGAAGGCCGGTTTAAATGTCGATTTTTGACAAATGATTATAATAATATGAATGGTATATCTTTTTCAGACATGGGCACAGTGCTGAAGGTGGTGACAATCCCCAGAGAGAGCTGGCACGACCTGGAAGAGGTGGTTCTGGAGGAGATGACTGTCTTTAGGGTAAGACCATAAATATGAAGTGTTAACAGCAGTTTATGACGCTGATGCCTTACAGTATAGAAACACACACCGTGTCCATAGATGTGGTACTAAAGCAGCTGTGCTATGTTTGTTTTGAGCAGGAGCCGACTCCCATTACTGCCATGGAGCTGTCGACCAAGCAGGTAAAGACTTTTTTCCAGCACATAATAATTTATCCAGAAGCTGTTGACAGGGCTAGAAGTGAGAGCTTCTGGGCCTTTAGGCAAACACTGAGATATGAGAATAAATGTGCCTACTGAGGGCCAAACCCTCAACCTACTTCCTTTTACAAACCTTTTCCAACTGAGCCTCACAGGAATACTTCATTTTTACATCGTCGCTCTGTCTTTCTCTCCCACAGCAACAGCTGTACCTCGGCTCTGGCCTGGGTGTATCACAGATGTCTTTACACCGTTGCGAGGTGTATGGGAAAGCTTGTGCCGAGTGCTGCCTGGCCAGAGACCCTTACTGCGCCTGGGACGGCAGCGAGTGCTCCAGATACTTTCCGACCGCCAAGAGGTAGGAGCACGCACGCACATCTTTGACCTCTATTTATCCTCCGAGGGGTTTGCTGAGCCTGCATGCTTTTCAGCCACATCCTGCCTTTGTAATAATTCCGTCATGCACCTGGGAGTTATCAGTGCACCTGCAGTCCGCTGTTGTAAATGGCTTTAAATGCGTTGCTCAAGGGCATATCAGTATACAACCTTGTTTCTGTAGACCGCGACCGACACCGGCCTATTTGCAAGTGATGTGATTCAAAAAAAAAAAAAGTACACAGTAAGTGCCAAAACATCTAAACATGGAAGTAATCTGCAGTCGGAATAATACACGGGCACAAAATACAGTGATTAAATACTCAGTGTGCATTCCAAGAGGTACAATCCAACATCCTGGGTTGTAACTTCTGCCAGTAACAGTTGTTCTGAGCTGTGATCCCTCGCCCTACAGCCGAGATGTACACACACACACACACACACTGACGAATATACATCCACCCAAGCTGACACACACACACTAAATTATAGCCAACAGGAGCTGTCTGACCGCTTCACCCTGAAGCCAGGAGGTATGAACACACACACCCTCAAATTACCCTTTGCCGTAGCCAGTGGGATTAGGCTGACCACCACAGCCCTCACACACACACACACACACACACACACACACACACACACACACACACACACACACACACACACACACACACACACACACACACACACACACACACACACACACACACACACACACACACACACACACACACACACACACACACACACACACACACACACACACACACACACACACACACACACACACACACGCACCACTGCACCACTGCATCTCATTCATCCAGAACTTCTCACACCAGCAGAAGTAGGCCAGTGGGTATACTCCAGCTTGGCAGGGTTACAGAAGAGGTGGCACACCCCGTGGTTAAGGCCAGGATCGGCTCCTCTCCTCCACGCTGCAAATATTTTCCCTCGCAGAATGAGAACCAGACGAAAAAGACAGGATTGTTATCTGGGACACAGAAGGATGTTAGTGGGCATATTTGATGAATTCAAACACGTGCTGACCGTTCTGCATCTGTTTCTTTGTCACATCTTCCTCTGCTTTATTTTCTTCTTTCAATCCCTTCCCCTCACCTTTGGCTTACCCCACCTCACCTCACTTTGATTTTTACAGGGCCTGTCAGAGATTTTAAACATGACCATGACAATTAGGAACAGGAACATTCGCAGTTACTCTGCAAAGCCAGGCTATGAAAACTCCTCGCTGTCAGGTAGTAAAAAAAAGCCGAATGACACGGTGGACTTTAATATCGAGGGGACAGAGAGTGGGTCTGCTTTTACGAGGCTTTTCAAGGGCGAAACAATGTGTTATGTGTTTCATAATAACGGCTCATCGGAACGCAATGAGGCACGCTGTTTCATTGCTCGGCAGGTTTATGTTTCGTAAAATTCTGCCAGGCTTTACTTTTTTCCACTCGTGTGATTTAACAGTGGGGTAAAGGTTCAACGAATACCCAGTCTCCAGTGAAGCTGAAAAAGTATTGTGTAACATTGCCCCCTAGTGGTTGAAATTAAACAGTACAGAGAACAGAACATGCATTTCTGGTCTATTCTGTTGAACATGTGTTGCTTAAATTACCAGTACACCCTCTACAGCAGGGGGGCCCAACTCATTTAGTTCAGGGCCACATACAGCCAGATTTCATCTCAAGTGGGCCTGACCAGTAAAATCCTAGCATAATAACAAATAAATAACAACAAATGTTCACATTTAATGAACTATCTTTTTACAAACTATTATGAACAACCTGACATATCTAGAAAAAAATAAGTGCAATTATTGCAATTTATTGCCCCACGTTATCATTTACACATGTGCATTACAACTTACAGATCACAGTGTATCTACAAAGGCAGACAAATGTTGTCACCGGTATCTGGAACTAAACAATATAGTTTTATATAATTTTACTTCATGATCAAAACAACTTTTCAATATCTAAAAATTATTTTACAGTCATTTCTACATCTGTGTAGTAATCCTGACCACCACCACAAAGTGGAAACCATTAAGGAAGAGGATTAAGTTATCCCCCCGCCTTGTAAATGTAGAAAATGTATACATACAAAATGCAGTTAATGTCATTTTTACACTTTGCAAAGTCACCCCATCTGTTTGACACCCCTGCTCTACAGCCATTAACTTTCTCTGTGGTTTCCCCCAGGCGAACCAGACGACAGGACATCAGAAACGGAGACCCTCTCTCGCAGTGCTCGGATCTCCAGCATCATGGTAATGACTCCACACGAACACATATAGTACGCTCTCTCCTCTTCTTGCTACACACGTTCCCCTAACCTGTGTGTGTTTGTTTGAGCAGAAGACACAGCCGGCTTAGGCGGCATGGAGGACAGGAGTGTGTACGGTGTGGAGAACAGCAGCATGTTCCTGGAGTGCAGCCCCAAGTCTCAGAGAGCGCTCATCTACTGGCAGCTGCAGAAGCCCAACGACGAGCGCAAGCACGAGGTGTGTTCACGTTATCGCTGATTCAAATGCAGCTGGATGATTGCAAAAGTCACACATTTGAACTCTAACTTAATTGAATTAGTGGGATAATTCAATTGCTGCAAACAAAACATCATCTCTCTGCAAAAATCAGTTCCCTGTGTTATCTTGTAAGGATCTCTGAACTCTTTGACCTTTAAACTTAGTGATCTAGAAAAGGTGATAACCTAGGGGTGTGGATGTTTAGATTTACTTTTGACCCCATGCTTTATCCATTTAATTTGGCCTGAGTTTCTGCTGTGGCTGTTTTTGTTTAACGGGGCATTCGTTCCGTGGGTTATTGGGTGCAGGGTTGAATTTAAATCCAGGAAGTCCAGTTTGAGTAATAGATCCATGATTATTTTAGGCTTATCAGACACAGACCACAGTTTAATAGGTTATTATTTCATTAGAAAAACACTTTACTTCCATGGCTTTGGCCAGTGGTGTCAAGTAACTAAGTAGATGTACTCAAGTACTGAAGTTACGTACAATTTTGTACTTCTACCCCACTACATTTCAGAGGTGAATTGTGTACTTTCACTCCACTACATGTATGTAATACCTTTAGTTACTTCACAGATGTGGATTAATGATGTGAAATATAATCAAGTGTTAAATCAGACTTTAGTTCCACCTGGAGTAAATTCACAAGCTACCCTGCAGTATACAAAGTCATTCAAACTAGCTGCACCTTTACCAGCTTTGATAACACTTTCATGATCAATCATTATAAAACATATCATATATATTATTCTGAAATGGACCAATCTGCAGAATGAATACTACTTGGTACTTTAAGTAGATTTAGATTATATTTTGAATGCAAATTTGACTAAATTAAGTACAAGATCTGAGTACTTCTTTCACCTCTGGCTTCAGCAATCATTTGATCTTTTATCAAAATCAAAGAAAAATGTATGACCCCTGTTTACTCACACTCAGATCAAGGACTTTTGTGCTTTGCTGTTGTCTGTTTGTTCTAATTTCTCCCTATTAATTCATTCCTCTGGCTTATTCTCTCTTTTTCCAGATCAAGCTCGATGACCGGGTTCTCCATACAGACCAGGGTTTGCTCATACGCAGCCTGACCCAGTCGGACTCAGGTATCTACCACTGCCAGGCTGTGGAACACGGCTTCATCCAGCCCCTGCTGCGCCTCAACCTCCAGGTCATCCCCGCTCAGAAACTGGGTGACATCCTGCCCGGGCTTTCCAGCGCGGGAGACGGGGGAGGTCACTCTCCCAAGCACAGGCTGTGGTATCGAGATTTCCTGTCTCTCTTGGACCACCCAGACCTCAACAGCGTGGAGGAGTTTTGTGATCGAGTCTGGAAGAAAGAGCGCAAACAGAAGAGGGTGAAGACGCCAAACGGCAACACTAAGGGTAAAACCGACAGCACAGGCGCCTCTAACCCGGCGGCACGGCCTAAAGCTTTGGCGCCAAATGCCCAGAAGCAGCAAGCCAGTCCCCCACAGAGGGGGCCATGGCCTAAGGGTGATGATCCAACTGTCGACGTGCCAACACAAGGTCAGCCTACCCAGAAAACTCAACCAAATCTGGGTACGTTGATTGGCCAGGCACCAAAGAACAATTCGAGGACGCAAAATGGACAGAAGGGGACCCCGGCTTCGGGGGGGTCTCGGGCGGGCAGCCATCAAACGGCCAAGTGGAGAAGGATGCAGGAAAATAAGAAGGGACGCAACAGGAGGACCCACGAGCTTCAAAGACCCCCACGTAGCGTCTGAGGGGAAAAAAGCACAGAGATGCACACATGCAACCAGATCTACACACACAAGCACAAACCCATGCATCCACACATAACACACACACACACACACATTCTATAGATTGTGTGTCCAATGTATGATTCAGTGACCTCGCCATGACAGCAAAACCAATAAGAAAACAGCAGCTCACACTCTTAGAAAAGTAGAAATACAAGAGCTGCCATCATGTTACAACAACACACTCCAATTTAAAGACACAAATGAAATGGACAAAGACTAACAGAGGACTGAAAACTGGAATGCATACTGTAAATGTGTGAAGATATGGCTGGTTGCCTGGGATACTGCCTGGCAGACACTTCAACCTCCTGTACATAAGCTACTAAAATAAGACTGGGACAAAAATGTTTAGTGAGGTGTTTGTTCATACGCAGAGGGACTTACTATGCTGAGAGGACAGTTGTGGAGACATTTATAGATACACAGACTTTTATGGAAGCAGAAATGATCCACTGTCCTCACTGCCAGAGCATGTGACCTGCAAGATGAGTGTTCATGGAATGGATTAAAAACTCTTATTTTGGAAAACTGTTTGAGGAGAAAGAGCCTTCCATCTTTGGAGTGAAGACATGCAACAGCACCCTTAAAGGAGAAAAGGGAAAGGGTTGCACCAGTGGTCCCTTATGTTGTTTAAAAACCAATAGAAGCATTAATACAAGCAAAAACTGCAAAGTCATGCTGCGGTGTAGAGAAAGTGCTTCATCATTTCTCCACCGAGGCTGGGAAAGCATTGTGCATGTTGTCGTCAATCAATGTTTTAATAAGCTAGTTATTTTATGGAATTCTAGAGGCTTTTTTTTTTTTTTACACCCTCCCTAAAAAGTTTTTCTTTTATATTGTCTTTCCTTTCCAGACCAGTGATTCTATTTTGGGGGCAAACAGTTACAAGCAACATAGTAGTCTCATTGTGCATTATCCCTACTGCTCTCCAGGATTCGGTGTAAGTTATGATGTTGTTGCTTTTTCTGGGATTTAAAGAATCTGGGCACGGATTCCAGTTGTAGGCTATGCTAAAAACCCAGTCTGAAATAGACTGCCAGTTGTTTTGTGTACATATATACAACAAACTTAACTCTGTGTATATACAGTACATATACAGTACAAGAACACCACTTGATTATTATTTATTGCTCATTGTTTTGTGAAAGGGGTTGCATTTATTTTTGATATTATGGTATTTTTGGCTCATCAATATATTGGGAGAAACAATGGCAGAGGGAACTAAGGAAGCTTTGATGGACCAACTGGCTGAAATTGTGTCAAGGAATCCCTTTTTGGGGATAAAAGGGTTGATATGAGTACAGGGGTTTGTGTCATTACTACATATTTGACAGAGATCCGACCAATGATAAGCACAATTTTGTCTCTTTTGACTTTCATAGCAGATTATTTCATTTTATTTTATTTTATCCTAAATCCATTCAACATGTCTTTGTTCATCCGGTATCCATTATGTGTAAGATAATTCCCCAAACTGAAAAACTTTAGCTGTGAATCTCTGTAAGAAATAGTGGAGAAAAATGTTAAACCTAGTCTGAAGGAGAAGACACGTTATACTGCATGTGAATGCTACCTACAGTAAGTGCATCTTTTTTATCGTCTCTTTACGTGTTTTGTGTGAGAGGTAAAGTTCCCTTAAAGCAAGGTGTGAATTACTTTTGTCCTTTTGCCAAAACAGTGATAAAACAACCTACAATACTCTGGCCAAAGCTGGTGAAGATCCAAACTCCTTTAACTAGAACTCAACTATGGTACCTCCTGTCTCCCCTGTCCCCTATGACAGGAGTAATGTGTCAATGCAATAAATTAGTCAAGATAGTGTCCTCTACTAAAAGTCCAAAGTTGGTTGTGTCCCTGATTCAGGTCCCTCCCTCAGAGTTAGAAAAGTGAGAGAGCTGAAGTTACCGCTGCTGTAACAAAGGTTCTTTCTGGCATGCATTCAGTTGTCTAAATAAACATCTCCGTTACAAAAGAAAAGTCTCTTTGTTCTCATTTCAGTTAAAAACGTTCTGCACATAGTGTCCTCAGCTGCACTACATTGTATCCAAGGTAACACAAAGGACTCAAATTAAATAAAAAGACTACAGACATGCTAGGCCCTGTGAGGCTAAAAGTGGAGCTAACTGCTAACATGAGAATGCTAACATGCCCAGAATGACGATGCATGTCCACTATCTTAGTGTTAGCATGCTAATATGTGCTAATTAGTACTAAACACAAAGTAAGCTAATAGGAATGTCAATCGTTTTGCAGACAATGTTTGTTTGTTATAAACCAATGTTGCCTCACCGTAAAGGGATATTCCATTTTTGAAAACTTTGAACTACTGATGCCATAGACAGAAACATGGCTGAAATTCAGGACCAATTTATTGTTTTAAAAAGTTTAGAAAGAACATTAGGGTGAGCTTGTTAGCTACCATGATGCTAGCTCACTGTGATTAGTTACTAGGACACTTGATGGAACTGAGACATAATTAACCTCATTTGTTTCACCTGGGCTTTTCCTACTGTGAGGTCAAATGACTGCTGTGAAAACAAGTCTTCAATATAAGAAGAAAAATAAGTCTTCAATATAAGAAGAAGAAAAATAAGTCTTCAATATTCTTAACCCTTGTGTTATGTTCACATTTCGCACCTTTTGGTAATGTTCGGGTGAAATTGACCCGGGACATATTTCAGGGTTTAAAAAAAATACAGAATTAAATTCAACATGCACAATTCCTTATATATATTGTCTATCATTCCCCAACAATATAAATGAAATATACGTTTAGTTTTTGAAAATAGTCTTTGCTAGATCAAATTTAACAATGGAAGTGTCCATCGTTTTTTGTGATAAAAATGTAATTTATGTTAAAAAAAAATACACTGTAATAAAAACTAGGTTTACATTTTGCTCATGCTTTTCTAGGACAAATGTAAATGAAACATTTTTTCATTAATGTTTATTATTTTTAATCTGTCATATAATAATCAAAGCCCTGAAGGAAATAAAGCAATTTAACAGCAATTGAAACACAAGAACCACACATCCAAAAGTATTTGGCTGTGAAATATACAGAGCTGATGAAACATCCATATAAATGACATAGAACAGATATAAACACAAAGCAAATAAAAACAATTAACAGTCACTATTCATAAAATACAGTATATCCGAAAAAGATATTGATGAAGTGACGCTGCAGAACATCATGTGAGTCAATGGGCAAGTCCGTTTAGGAAACACATGATGTACAGAACTTCTTCGTGTGTATAGCACAGATGTACTTGTTGCAGTTGCTGCATGTAGTCTGTGTCTTGGAGTCCTTTGAGGGTCCACAGACCTCACAGCGCTTCCTTTTGCCGGCACAGGGTGCAATCTAGAACAGTAAAATATGTATTAGTTCAGAAATTGTTTTCACCACATCTCCTAACACTGGAAAAAACGCACACACACACACACACACACACACACACACACACACACACACACACACACACACACACACACACACACACACACACACACACACTACTTACTTCAGGCACTGCAGGTTGTGGTTGTGTTGGCCGTGCAGGTGTAGCAGCAGGAGTTGCCACCATCTTCCTCAATATAGCAACAGAGGCTGGGTTCCTGGGCATGTGTTGTCTTCGCTGCATGTGAGGTGTCACCAGTGCCTTGCCAAGCTCCTCCAGAAAAATGCGTCTTCTTTGGAGCTTCTTTTGGTTCCATTCTGGGTTTATTGCCATCCAAAGTGCAAAGGCATTGTAAGCAGAGACATCCAGCATGTTGTAGAATATCACAAGTGGCCACCTCAAGGTCCTTCTTTGGCAGCTGTAGCAGGACAGCAGCTTGTCCAAGTTATCTACTCCTCCTTTGGTGGCATTGTAATCAAGTATTATATCTGGCTTACGGTCCTCACGGCCACTGATCTTTGCATCTCTGTGTAACGTGCTCATGAGAATGACATTTCTGCCCTTTTTTTGTATGTAGGATACCAGGGCAGTGTTGTCTGTGAACACAAAGTCGGAGGAATGAACTGGCCTTTTCTTCACCGTTAGAAGATGAGGGGGAAGCTCTGTCTTGTTTTTTCGTACTGTTCCAATCATTGTGACTTTTCTTCTGAGAAGTTCTTGTCCCAGGCTGTGCGATGTGAAAAAATTAGCGCAGGTGACATTGTGGCCACTGAGGCCCTGCACCATGTCAAGCACCACTCTTGCCCCCTGGTTTTTCTCAGGCACTCCTCCCTCTGGCTTCCCTGTACACATTTGCATATTCCATGCATAGGATGATACAGCATCGCAGGCAGCCCAGATTTTTATTCCATACCTTGCTGGCTTGGAGGGAATATACTGCCTGAAAGGGCAGCGGCCTCTAAACCCCACAAGCCGTTCATCCACAGTAACATTTGGCCCAGGGTTGTAGAGGGATGGAAGCCGCTGCACCCACTTGTCCCACACTGTGCGGATTGCTGCCAACTTGTCCCTCCGTTGTCTAGCAGGTCTGGTCTCCATGTCATCAAACCTGACGATCCTTGAAAGAATATGAAAAGTCTCAAGAGACATTGTTGCCCTGAAAATGGCTCTCCCTGTTTCAGCATCCCACAGACTCTCAGTGGACTCCCCTCTTGACCTATACACACCTGCAAGAATAAGGATGCCAAAGTATGCATGCACATGTGTAATATCCAACTCTTTCCATTCCTTCCCAAAAACCCGTCTCCCCTCAAGATTGGTCATGTCCAATATGATGTTTTGTATTGAGTCTGGCATCAAAAGCTCGAATGATGACTTGATGTCATGAACATGCGTCACTGCCATTCGTGTCGGCCCGGGTACCATCCTTATTATATTTGCAGACAAGCGAGTGGGCTCACTTATTGGGGATGAACACCATTCAATCCTGCCGTCCTTTGACATGTATGTCTTCACCTCTTCTCCTGGCTGTGGGGGTCTTCCAGCAGCTGGCTGTGGGGGTCTTCTTGCGGCTGGCTGTGGGGGTCCTTCAGCGGCTGGCTGTGGGGGTCTTCCAGCAGCTGGCTCTGAGTCAAGTTCATCTTCCAATTCGGTGTCAAATGCTGAGTTTACCTCCATATTATCCTCATCTTCAGAAATGTCTTCCTGTTCCACTTCACCGTGTTCCTCTAATGCATTCCACTCACTCTCATCCATTATTAGCTCCAAGGCTCTCTGAGCAGAATATCTTTTGGCCATTTTGCTGGTAGATAATTCTAGTTCTGCACTATACACTGTAATGTGAAGTTATGTCTCTGTTTAGTCCCTCCTCCGGTGTGTGTGTGTGTGTGTGTGTGTGTGTGTGTGTGTGTGTGTGTGTGTGTGTGTGTGTGTGTGTGTGTGTGTGTGTGTGTGTGTGTGTGTGTGTGTGTGTGTGTGTGTGTGTGTGTGTGTGTGTGTGTGTGTGTGTGTGTGTGTGTTTTTCTCTGTCTGTCTGTCCTGGTATTGTATCCGGGTCAGATTGACCTGAACCTCTTATGAAGGACATAAATGCGGGTGGGCATTTTTTCATAAGTGGAACAAAATAAAAACAATTCCACATGTCCTTCACAATAAATAAGCCCCGGCCATTGAGTTTCAGGTTGAACGAAAATATCCTGATATTTTTTTTTATTCATTGAAAATGGAAATCGGGTCAATTTGACCCGAACACCACACAAGGGAGCTAGTTAGTTAGTTGTTCTCTATATCGCTGCAATAATTATTTCATTAAAGGTCCCATTTCATGCTTTTCTGGTTATTACCCGTCCCCTTGTGTGTTATGTAGCTTTTTCTGCATGTAAACGGTCTGTAAAGTCACAAACCCTCAAAGTACACCCTGTAGCGAGTAAAACTCTAACACAGAAAATACCTGTCTATGCTGCCCCAGAACGCCTCGTTGGAGATTTTTCTTTTTCCAGTTTTCTCTTCTTGGCCATAGTGACGTAACGGCTCCGAGCTCCTCACACACACACACTCACTCAGCCTTATCTTTTCTCAGTCGCGGTACTCCGCGGATCTCCGCACACACACACACTCACAGCCTGGCTGTGTGTGTGCTCAGGCTGAGTTCCGCGGTGTCTCGTTGTCTCGCTGTCTCGCAGACCCCACGCAGCAACCAGGAAACGACACCAGTAATCTAGCTCACACTGTCCGCTCCTCGAGCCTCAAAGGGCGGAGCAGCGAGCCCCGCAACGTCCCGCCAACACGGCACCCAGACCCCACGCAGCATTCTCATCTGTTTGTCATTACTGGTGTCATTTTCTGGTTGCTAACAAACGCCATTGTAACACATAATCACTGATGTTCCGCTGTAACGGTGGTGGACTCATCAGAACAGAGTCGGCATGCTGACCAATCAGAGCACAGTGGGCTCATAGGGAGGGGGGGGGGGGGGGGCAGGAGCTCCAACAAGCCCTTTAGGACAGAGAGTGAATACACATACTATACAGAGATGCTGTATGAGAAACCAATGTGAGTTTGGAACATTGAACAATGTAAATCTATTCTAGTAGACCTCAACAATGGAATTATGATCAGTAGAAATGGCCATGTCATGGGACCTTTAAGGCAGAACTAGATGGATGACTCACAAGCGGGTAACATTATAATGTAGCTATCTGAACGGCTATAGTGGTAAGTGAGATTGTTGTTATATAACCTTTTACTGCTAGCAAAGAAAGCTCCTACACTTAATGAGAACAAATAACGAACAAAACGTTTGTGCACTCAGCTGATAATTAAGTAATTTAAATGTGTTCACATTCTAACTTTTTATGCAAAGCACAGGTGTTACCATAGGGTGTTACCAATAAAATGTTTGATGGCACTCTTCTATAAGTGTCCCAGTAAGCCATGAATGTGTGACAGTGAGCCAGCATGCACAAAATGAGGAAATCAACTAAATACAATTCATAATATAGTTTTAGTCTAGTGTGGCCAATATATCTTCCAGGCCTGAACTTGCACAGGGGAATGAATGTGGCCTGTAGATAATGTTAATTATCACGAACAACCACCAGAGGTCGCTGTTACCTTTCAGAGTCTTGTGCTGATTGTCTAAGTGGAGGCTATATCATCTTACGTTGTCGTATTTTTAGACAAATTCCTTTCTTACACTGAATCCAAAAATCAACCTTTCTCAGACACCATGCGTGCACGTGCACGTCAGCTGAAGCGATTAGATGCTGCAATCATGTCCACTTTCCTCAAGTTTCACACACAAGTGTTAGGAATGTGCTGCTACTGTTACCATGGAGACTGTCCTTGAATGTCATGTCATGTCTTAAAAATACACATTTCCAGCTGTACACAGGAGTAGTCTTGACCGTTCTGTTGGAAGCTTTTGGTTATGTGTCCTCTGCTTCAGGGGAGCGTCTTCCCTGTCTGATCTGCTTCCTCTTTCTGTCTCATGTCCTCTCCTCACACAGCCACACTTCTGCTCCGGAGAACATTTCGTTTTTTCTCAGCCAGGGAACATGTACATTCAGCCTTCTGGAGACATTATTAATGGCAGCAAATTGATCATTAATTTCTAAAATACATTTATTTTATGAGAATAAAGACAATAAAGTAATGAAAAACAAAAGAAAACAACTCTATAGCTTATTAGGTTTTCAATATATGATGTTAAAATATCATATAAAAACTAGTTAACTTATTCTCGTAACATTAGATTTTTTTCTCAAAATATTGAGCCTTAATTTTTAAACTCTCAGATTGTTTTGCTTCCCCAAATACTACCCTAAAGTACTGAATTATACATGTGCTATTTTTAGTATGATGTATTTGTGGAAGTGAATTCTCATGGTTGACAAAGAAGAAACGTCAACAAAGAAAATAGACTTTCATTTGAGGTTTGAGGGATGATGTTTTACCTAATCTCAAAATGAAATAAAAACAGAGCAATCATTTCACTTCAACACTTATCACATATTAAATAAATGAAAACACCAGTTCATAAATGACTTGGACTATACGCTTGATATCCTGATTGGAGGACAGAACGTGGTCTATACATGTCTATGTTCACAGTGTGCCTGTGTGTTTGTGCTGGGTGAGATACAAGACAGTGAGCCAAAAAAGGGAAATTGATATCCAACATAATCTTCATGTTGCAGTCAACTAAACATATGTATGTGTATCCAAAGCTCCTCACGACTCTTGAAAGTCGTTTCTGAAACTCTGACTCATTCCTTCTTGCCCAGGAGCTAACCCAAGGGATTGTGGGAACTCAAGTCTGTGGGCAAGCAGAGAGGAAGAGATTTAGGCCAACGGCAGGACAACATCAGAACTCACTGCTCGTCCTCCTCTCTACCACTACAGAATATTAAATACACAGAATAATTATTTCTTAACCCTTCTGGCATTATCGGGTCAAATCTGATATCCTCCTACTAGGCATTTGAACATATACATTTGCAGATCTGCACTTTCACTGAATTTTGAGTTGTTTAGTAACTTTCTTACGCCGATGGTGTAAAAATGACTGCCATGAATGGGTAACCCTAGATTATGTTCCTCCATCAGATAGTACACACCCACAAATTGACAAAATGTTCATTTTGGAATACATTTTCAGTGTCTATTCTTTATTCACTGCATGTATTCATGTAAACCAGTAGACTGAGACATTGTTAACAGCTTAAAAGGGTGTTTAATTTAATTTGGCGATGATTAATGTTTTTTGTGTTAATGCAAGAGCAGTTAAAATAGACACCAAAGTAAGAAGTGGAGAAACGAACACAACAGGAGGGTTAAGAGTTTCCTTTGACTCAGAGTTTGTATATTTTTTTTCAGTTTCTTATCATTCTACATCGTTTCTAACTTCATGTTTACTTTACAAGCTCAATTCTCTGAGCTGATGTTAGCACATCTGTTAGACTCTGAGCTGAGTAAACTGCTGTGCTAAGCGGTGACACAGTTGATATTCACATACGTGAGTGGAAGCTTACAGCTGCTTTGTAGGCGTGCTGTACTGTACTGCAAGGAAGTGTCATGTGCATTGCACTAATCTTCAAGTGATCCCATAATTAGGAGCCCAGCAGGCGAGTGGCAGGTGCAGCAGAAACCATGGCAACTGGGGAGGGATCTGATACAGAGAAGCTGTCCTTGATGATCGATGACATTTTCCATCGAGGCCGAACCCCACTGAGCCTTTCCGGTGATCTCAGGGTGCGACTCTCTGTGCTCACCTCCTCCTGCACACCTCCTCATGCTGTCCATATGAAATACTAATATATAGTGGTAAAGATAAGGTGATAAGGAAAATAATCGTTCAATGAAGCCCAAAGGAGGGTAATTCTTTTTTTATTTTAAGGGTAACACAAGATTTCACCCCTTCCCCACACTAATAAATTCCATAGAGTCCCTTAAAATAACATTATTGTTGGATTAACCAGTTTTCTGATATTTTCAATCATGATCCCGACTGAGATTATGATCGAGATGCAGTGATATAGTGGTCATGAGAATTACTGCCCTGTTTTCTTGGTAAACTTGGCCTTTAACACTTTATTATTATTATTTTTAGGCTAGCTATTTATCTTAGTCGTACGTCTGTGGCATAGGCTAGCACAGTGGTTCTCAAACTTTTTCTGTCAGGCCCCCCCTTTGGAGAAAAAAAAAAGTCGGGCCCCCCCAACACAAGTCAGGCTCAGTGGCGGCGACAGAGATTTATTTTGGGGGTGCTGTGGGGTAGCTTGACGTTTCATAGAGGGTGCTCAAACATTTAGGGTTTCCCATTAAGGTACCGGGCGCTACAGTGGAACTACAATACTCCCCACACGCACATACACAGTGGCGGCTCCAGAGCATTTTTGTTGGGTAATCTATGGTAGGGCTAACCCATACAGTGGTGGTGCTCAAGTCAGTATTTGCAATGTAATTACATACACGCTATATCGCCCCCCTTGACAGTGAAACGCCACGCGTGAGGTTTAGATTATTTCCCTGTCTCAATCAAAATGGAACTGTATGAAATAAAACGGCACATTTGTCTTGTAGTAAATAAAAAGGGATCACTGTGAACGTGACGTATGATAGTACACGTTGAAGATCCAAAGGGGATACTGAATGGCGGTTTCGATTGATCTCAATCAATAAGGCATGACGCAGATCCAACGTTGCGTTGCTCTGATTGGCTGTAGGTCTATTCAAATTGCATTCGGAGGCATTTTGATCTGACCGCGGGCGCTGATATTATAACGCCAGAGAATTTC